CTGTGTTGCCCAGGCTGGAGTTCAGTGTTGCAATTATGATTCACTGCAGCCTTGAACTCCTGTAGCCTGTCTTGTTTTTTACAGATATGCATAGTTTACCATACACTCTCTTTGGCACCTTTATGTGTTTATTTATTTAGTCTGAGGTGGGGTCTTGCTTTGTTGCCCAGGCTGAAGTGTAGTGGTGAGATCATGACTCACTGCAGCCTCGAACTCCTAGGCTCAAGTGATCCTCTCGCCTCAGCCTCCTGGGTAACTGTGACTATAGGTGTGCACCACAGCACCCAGCTAATTTATTTTTACTTTTTTATAGAGACGGGGTCTTGCTGTGTTGCCCAGGCTGGTCTCGAACTCCTGGGCTCAAGCGATCCTCCCACCTTGACCTCCCAAAGTGCTGGGGATTACAGGCGTGAGCCACCACACCTGGCCTGTACCTTTATTTTTTTTAGAGTTCAACTCATATCCATTCATGCAGATCTAACTGTTTTTACTGGCTGCATGTATTCCATTATGTGGCTTTTATTTAACCTGCCTTGCAGGGTTGCGGGGACTGTGTATTTTTAAACCCATTGCAAGGACCAAATTGTTCTTCAAAGGATTGTATCAACTTCAATTCCCACCCACAAAGCGAGTGAGCGCCTGAAATGCTAATCTAAAAATCCCCAGTGCAGAGTTGTTCACAGATGGTGTTTATAAATGGTAATGATGACATTTAAAACACATGCACGTAATGCGCTTATTCAGATAACACCCAGGCTCTGATGGAATTGGAGTCAAGCTTGGGCTGCAAAACTAACTGCAGCTGATCAGTGAGAGGCAAGCTGTAGAGGAGCAGGGAGAGAGAGGGCTGGGCTGACCCTCACCGTCGGCACGAGGAGGATCTCCAAGTTCCAGGGAGCTTGAGGATTGGGCCCCCACCTCAGATTCACGTCAGCTCCCTTCCCATGCGACATCCCGCCTTCTAGCCTGCGACCGACATGCAAGGTTTCTGGTTCTTATTTTATTTATTTATTTTTCAGACAGAGTCTCACTCTGTTGCCCAGGCTGGGGCGCAGTGGCGGAATCTCATCTCACTGCAACCTCCACCTCCTGGGTTCAAGCAATTCTTGATAGTAGAATCCTCCATAGTAGCTGAGATTACAGACGTGCACCACCACGCTCTGCTAATTTTTGTGTTTTTAGTAGAGACGGGGGTGGGGGTTGCCATTTTGGCCAGGATGGTCTTGAACTCCTGACTTGTGTGATCTGCCCACCTCGGCCTCCCAAAGTGCAGGGATTACAGGCTTGAGCCACTGTGCCTGGCCGGTTTCTGGCCCTTAAATGGCAATGTATCAAGAAACCCTCTGTGCCTCGTTGTCTCTGGAAACTCTCAGAAGGTGGGGATGTCACTTTTGCAGCCACAGACCCTCCACTGCAGCCCAGTAAGGGGAGCTTCTGGGCAGGACTCAGGGGTCTCCTAGAAGCACCCTCAGAGAGAGGCCGGCTGGCTTCATGGGTCCTGGCTAGTGATCAGGCCAGGCTTCGCTGTCCCCTTTTCTCTGCTGACTCGGCTGCTTCCAGGGAGTTTAGGTTTCTGGAAGAGAATCTGATGCCACTGGGTAGTGTGCACTGTGCTGTGTGCTGCCCACTCTGACGTCCCTGGCAGAGCGCGTTCTCTAGCGGGTGCCCCTAGCTCAGGCTGTTGACTGACATGTTTACAGAATATTTTGATGGCCCATGGCAGAAAGAGGGATTTCCTGGCCGGGAACGGTGGCTCACACCTGTCATCCCAACACTTTGGAATCTGGCCAACATGGTAAAACCCCATCTCTACTAAAAATACAAAAATTGGTTGGGCGTGATGGCGTGCACCTGTAATGCTAGCCACTTGGGAGGCAGGAGAATTGCTTAAACCTGGGAGGCAGAGGTTGCAGTGAGCTGAGGTTGTAACACTGCACTCCAGCCTGGGCAACAAGAGCAAAACTCCATCTTGGGGGAAAAAAAGGGATTTCTCCAGTCATCACGAAGCCTGGGGGGAACAGTGAATTCACCTCCTTTGAGCAAGTTCTGTTTTTTTTTCCATTGGAGACAGGATCTTGCTCTGTCACCCTAGCTGAAATGCTGTGGTCTTAGTTTGCTGCAGCCTCAACCTCCTGGGCTCAAGTGATCCTCTCACCTCAGCACCCACAAAGTGCTGGGATTCCAGGCATGCACCACTGCATCTTGGTGGCATGCACCTGTAGTCCCAGCTTCTTGGGAGGCCAAGGTGGGAGGATCACTTGAGGCTGGGAGTTTGAGACCAGCCCGGGCAACATAGAGAAATCCCATCTCAAGAAAATTTAAAAATTAGCAGGGCTTGGTGGCACACACACCTGTAGTCTCAGCTGCTTGGGAGGCTGAGGTTCGATGATCACTTGGGCCTAGGAGGTCGAAGCTGCAGTGAGCTATGATTGCGCCACTGTACTCCAACCTAGGTGACAGAGCGAGACCATATGTCCAAAAAAAACAAAAAAAAAAACAGGTGCAATGTCTCACACCTGTAATCCCAGCATTTTGCGAGGCCGAGGTGGGTGGATCACCTGAGGTCAGGACTTTGAGACCAGCCTGGCCAACATGGTAAAACCCGGTCTCTACTAAAAACACAAAAAAATTAGCTGGGCCCGATGGCCCCCCAGGTTAAACTGCCTGTAATCCCAGCTACTTGGGAGGCTGAGGCAGGAGAATTGCTTGAACCTGGGAGGTGGAGGTTGCAGTGAGCAGAGATTTCACCATTGCACTCCAGCCTGGGGAGCAGAGCAAGACTCTGGATTACAGACGTGAGCCACTGCACCCTGCCAAGGTAGGTTCTAAGAAACAGAAGTTCCCCAGGTCAGGATTGGAAGCCAGCACTTTCTAATATTACCTGCTTGCTTCTTGGAGCTCGGTCGACCTGCAACCTCCCAGTTACCTCCTACCTGAACTTCTACCCAGTGGTCGGGTCAGATGAGAGAGGATAGGAAATGCAGAAAGGGAAGGAAGAGAGAGAGAATGCGAGGGGGATGTTCAGTGTGTGTCCACAGGCAGAGAGGCAGGAACAGAATCAGAGGCCAAGCGGCGCCTGGAACCGCCCACAGAACTAGAGATTTCCACCCCGCCCCTCGCTTCCTTTTGTCACCCCATGGCCATTCTGCTTCAGGGCGATTTTGTGAAGAATGTCCCGATGAACCACGGTGTGTACACGTGGCCGGACGGCAGCACTTACGAAGGCGAAGTGGTCAACGGCATGAGGAACGGATTCGGGATGTTCAAGTGCAGCACCCAGCCCGTGTCCTACATAGGCCACTGGTGCAATGGCAAGCGGCACGGGAAGGTGGGCGGGGCAGCCATGAGGAGCCAGAAGAGGATGGGGCAGGCATGGGGTGGGCGGGGCAGGCACGGG